TTTAGTACTTGCAAGATGGCTGGTGATCCAAGGAAAGAGGTACTATTGAAATCATATAGGAACAATGCACACACTGGCATTTATGTATAAAATTCTGAAAATAATATGATCAAATTCCTTAAGCAAAAAGTGCTATGGAAACTAAATGGTATAGCATGTGTCAACATGTCAGAATAGAAATCATTGTGAACCTATACCTTGAAACTACATGCAATTTAGGTACTCCATAAGTAGTTTGGCTGGACTATTGGCAGTTTGGCACTATGTAGCAACTAGCTTGGCTGGCACTTTAGTAACTTGGCTAGCTACTATTAATGAACCCATGGTGGGTTACTCTAGCTGGTTGCACATTAACCCACATAGATAGTCTTACGTACCCAGACCGTCTATCTCTCTACAAAGGAAGGCTACCACAAAAATGGGTTGATATTTATGCCAATCCCATATGTAGCTAGTTCAGAACAGTATGAAAGTCTAACATTTTACCAAACAAAATATACTCACATACATTAATTTGTTAGGATTTACTCTGCATGCAAAGTCCTGCCTCTGCTATTTTCACTTTTTAATGATATGTTTATGTGTACCAATTTGTTTACATTTATCTTGTTTTCTCTCTGATATGAATCAACAATGCCGATTAAACTACATGTTATCTTTATTACACAATAGACAGTAAGTCATATATATTGTGTACTATTATATTTATCTTTTAATTTATGCTTCTCTTATTGATATTCATTTACTGCTATCTTTGGCACACGTATAATAGTGGGTAAGTCTATACTATTATTTACTAATCTGTTATTCTCTCTGATATCAATCAACAATAAACTTCACAATAGACAGTAAGTCATAATGTGTACTATTATGTATATTTTTTAATTTTTTTATCAAACTGTAATCTTTGTCACACAATATAGCGGGTGAGTATGTGTACTATTACTTATTATCTTTTAATTTGTCTTTCTCTCTGATATCAATCAACATTAATTAAACTGTTGTCTTGATCACACAATAGGGAGTAAGTCATAATGTGTACTATTATTTATAACCATCTTTCTTTGTCCAATAATCAAACTGGTCACAATCTTTATCATACAATAGGGAGTAAGTGATAATGTATACTATTTCATGTATTTTATCTTTTAATTTATGCTCTCTTACTGGTTGATATCCATCAACTCTTATCTTTGTCACACAATAGATGGTAAAAAATATTGTGTACTTATTTACTTATTATCTTTAATCTGTCCATTCTCTCTGATATTAATCAACAATAATTTAACTGTTATCTCTGTGACACAATAGCCAGTAAGTCAGATAATGTGTACTATTATTTATGCCTTATCTTTTATTTGTCCAATAATCAAACTGTTATCTATATCACGTGTACAAAAGGGAGTAAGTAATAATGTTTATTATTTCAATTTATTATTTTATGATATTAATCAAAAATATTTAAACTTCTTCATCACACAATAGACAGTAAGTCATAATGTGTACTGTTGTATTACCTTTTAATTTATTGTTCTGTTACTGATATTCATCAACTGTTATCTTCATCACACAATAGTTTGTAAGTAATAATGAGTACTGTTATTTACATTCTATCCTTTAATCTGTTTTTCTCTGATATTAATCACCAATAATTGAACTTTTATCTTCATCACACAATAGACAGTAAGTCATAGTGTGTACTGTTATTCTTTTCTCTTAATGACATTCCTTAACTATTATCTTTGTCACATAATAGTGGGTGAGTAAAAATGTATACTATTATTTACATTAATCTTCATTCTTAACAACAATCAAAATAATATCTATATCATGTACACAATAGGAAGTAAGTGATAATGTTTGTTATATTAATTAATTTATCTTCTTCTGATACTCATTTTTGTCAAACATTAGGAAGTAAGTCATAATGCTTATTATTATGTAGAATTTATGTTTCATCTGTCTTCATTTCTGCATATCAATAAACAATAAACTGTTGTATTCATCTCACATTAGATTGTAAGTCATAATGTATATACTATTATATATATTATCTTTTATTTTATGGTTCTCTTACTGATATCTATCAACTGTTATCTTTGTCACACAATAGCTTGTAAGTAATAATGAGCACTGTCATTTACTTATTATTTTTAATTTGTCATTCTCTCTAATATATTAATCAACAATAATTAAACTGTTATTTTTGTCAATAAATAGAGAGTAAGTCATATGTGCCAATTTGTATTTTTATCTTTAATTCATCATTCTCTTACTAATATTCATCAACTGTTATCTTTGTCACACAATATAGTTAGTAAGTAATAAT